GTAGATGTCGCTACACATATAAAATGTAGATTATATATATTGTATAGATAGAATCTCTGTATATATTGCGTATATATAGAATGTATCGGATACACTACAATTTTATTTAGATACGGATTCTTTTACTATTTTGAAGTAGAATGTTTCACAGGAAAATTTGATTTGCCGCTACTTACTTACAACTTCTTAACTTTCAATATATATTTTAGTAGCTAAACTTTAAATTAAAATTCTGTTAAAGTCAAGTTTGCTTTAAATTCCAACTTACTTTCTTTAATCTTTAATCGTTTATAACGAGAACTATTGGTATTTTAGCGTTTAGTGAAAAAAAAAAATGTTTTCTTAGAGTTTGACTTGTAGTCTCGCGGTCTCGAGATCGCGCGCATTTGCTTTGGACACCTCGTATATATGTTTTATATATATATATATATATATGTATATTTATACACATATATATGTATGAAGCAATGGGAGGCGAGGTGCAGAGTTTTCCTCTTTTGCGGAAACTCCCAAGTTTCGATCCTGCCAGCAGCTTGCGGCATCAGTCCGAATTCAGAGAAGTCAACTTGCGGCTGGAATTGAGTGCTAAGTGATTTCTACTGTTTCCGGCGCGACAATAATATCGTTCAATCTTAGTGTGACGTTCTGATCTTATGTCTTTGATGTTCGTGTGACTGTCGTATAATAGTATAGGCGGCCGAAGAGTCGTGGGAAGACGTCCCTTCGCGCTTCTCCGTGTCACAGCTCACGAATCACCTGTCGGAGTTCTCACAGTCTGCCATAATGCTTGAGGGAGTGCAAGTTCTGTCATGCGAGAAAAAGATCATGTTTGATATTGATAAATAACGACTAAAAGCGATTTAATGCATCTAGCTTTTACAAGTGTGAATTTTATCTTGGAAATAATAGAAGTAAAAGCATCGAATGTTGATCATTATTTCAAAGGTATGAAACACATAACTTCTCTCGCATGCCGTTACAGCATTATATATAACGTTAGACAAAAGTGATGTATTCTTCACTGTAATGTAATCTCTCCCATCATCCCTTTATCCTTTTATAAACTATGTCATTTTTATCCTTGTGTAAAATAAGTTTCTCATGCGTCGTTTCTTGATGCTCGGAGGACGATTTATTTTATAGACTCCATATATCATGACCGATCGATATTCCTGCAGGTCGTGCATGTCTACTACGTGCAAACAATCGCCGCATGCTAATTATACGTCGTGACGGCAACGCGGGTACGCTTACGAGTTCGCTGTTAATCGCATTTTTCCTCCGTTCATGGAAAAGCCTATTGCTCTTTCCTCTGTAACTATCGTAAAATACGTTATAAATGGAGTGCAACTTGAGAATGCGCGAGTCAGTGCCGACGAACGTGACTGAACAATGATGTCTCCGAGTGTGTTTCAAAGCGGCCTGGCGCCCCACTTCATCAGCCAAGAGGCCGTAGTCGCTTTTAACATTGTACATGCTACTCTGGGCATATGTATGTGTACATATGTTAACGTACATGTGTGATACGAGAGGAGAATTAATTCCGCTGGCACTTAAAATATTCTCCAAGTTTCTCGGACAGTTCCGTCATGAGAAGGTCGCTGCGTCAGCAATTTTCACCCTACTGACATCCTACTTTTTAATATGCAATCATTAATATTATAACCGTAATCGATTTCTTTCTTTTCACCTTTTACCTCTTGTAAGTTTGTTTCCATTTTTTTTCTCTTTAATTATTTGTAATTGATTTTAGATTATTAAAATTGCATTAATTGCATTAATTTAATATCTCTATTCACCGATTATGATAAACAAGTGTAAAGATAATTTAGAGCATTTTTTGTGCAGCAATTAAAAATAAAGATAAAACTTTTTATCTGTGCAAACATTTGTTTACGTGTTAAAGGACTTGTATATACAAATCCTTCGGTACAAGAGTGAAATGAATAGCATCGGTAGTAGACGCTAGAAAATTGCAGATGTCACGGTGTGTATCTTACGAGATCAGGACAAATAAGTTCAAGTATCACTGATACGTTTCACGCGATAGGTCGCTTGGGTATCTTTCCAATTGTAGAAACCTTTATACGACGACATGAAGACGAAGGCAGGTCGACGAAAAATGCGGTGAGAACAAAAGATAACGGAAGGAAGAGAAATAGGGTGGTGGAAGAGCGAAAAAAAAAATGAAAGTGCTTGCCATAGTTAAGTAGAGATAGATAAAGTATGAGGACAGAGGAGAAGGAAAAAAATATGTCGTTTTTGCTAATTTACTAAAGACCTTTCTAACTTGTGTGGCTCGCGGAGCTATTAATTCGCTGTGCGCGAAACGCGATATGTCCTCTCATTGGTGCACAGCTTCCTCCTCTTTGTGTCTCGCTTTTTCGAAAGACTGATTAATTGCGTCACTATCTTTATAAATTGCTTTGTTTGCATTAGTCTTGCCTTGCCGAACGAATGCTCGCTAATGGATCGTTTCAGCCAGAAATCATTGCAAAGCACTAGCGCGCCGACAGAGACGAATCGTGAGGGTAGCAATGGTGATATTATCTTGGATAAATGATTGTATTCGCATTAACGTGGTACCGTAATGATCCACATTTCTCTCCCCATTGGCACGATTTTGCGCTCTACTCGTATAAATATTGTCCATAAATGATATTATAAAAAGTTACATTATTTTACTATGTTTTTAAAATAATTATGATGTTTTATTTTTCGATATTTGACATTATAGTTTCTTTCTCTTGTTATAATAAGAAATAATCTAATTCTTCTTATTGTGAATCATTGTGAAAACTTATAACGCAGAAGATACGCGAATTTTCGAAAGATTTCAGCGCTCTTTTTTTTCTTTTTTTTTTTTTTTGTAGATGATTACGAAATGTCTCGCTTTATGAACGCTGAGAGACTCATAGCATTTGCACCGCAGTCGAATTTCAACTTCTTGCCCACACAGTCGGCTCTACACATCGAATCGCTTTATTTTCTACAACAATGGTCGCACAATAAACCGGTATATTACACAGCTCGGTACACGTACCTCTGCGAAATAAAAAAAAAAGAGAGAATCACTCCCTCCGCATTACGCCGAGTTACGGGATACAATAGGGTCCCCAAAGTATAAAACTGGTCGAGAATGTTCGGGCTTTTGTACCGGCGGTATAACTCAAGTGTCATGCCATTATTTAACCATAGATACGACGGGTCTTTGCATTCTCCTGTGTGTGTCCGCTCACCGAGAAGACCCCGGTGCGCCCGGCTAACGTAAAAGTTAATTGAAAAACAGGAAATTAAATTTTCGCAATTCCCAGTCGTGCGAGTCACGGCTTCTCGGATAATAGAAACTATGTCGTCTGGCCTTTGCAACGACTCCTCTATAAATTATCGGCTTGCTTAATCATTAGCCGTCTGATTCGCCGGATACGTTTGGGGTAAATTTATGTCTCATCGTCCCTATATCGCGTCGATGCGAGTCATGCGTATGTGACGAAAACAAATCTCCTTGGAAAATTAATAAAATAATTGCAACGCTCCTGTTAAAAAGTTGTGTAATTATTTATTTTTAATTCGTGCGACTAACTTGTTATCGAGAATGATATTTAGTCCTGTGAATTATCATGTGCTCCTCCGTTGAATTTTTCTCCTCGAAAAGTCAAACTTTAATTTAATTCTTCGAGTTTGGCATTCTACGCGACTGGTAGTACGAAAGCGAGGACGTTAAATCGATGCGCGGACCGACGACTTCATTTTGGAAATAAGAAAACTTTCCTCTCGCGTACCCGCGCCCCTCATCCTGGAAGTAATGTCAGATGGTGAATTTCATTATCGACAAGACCCGATATCTCTACATTAAAATCGCCCGAGGCGAGACACATCGCGTCTGAGGAAGCTCGCAGTGTCGATTAGATACGACTCGACTCGCGTATAGTGTCGAATATTGCCAAAACTTTCCGTCTTATTTCCGTCTTTCTGCGCGTTGCATTATTCTTTCCTTCATGCAGTTTGTCATATGCGACGTCATGACATTTTCTTTTCTTACAGGTTGTTCTTGTGTTGTGTACAGCAGCTCGGACAGGCCTCAAGGTGGCACTTTTACATCTCCTGATTTTCCCAGACGATATCCATCGAACATCGACTGTCTTCTGTACACATTCGTTGGCCATCCAGATGAAATTGTTGTTTTAACTTTTCATCAGTTCAACATTCGTCGTACCTGGCCCGAGTAAGTGATCTGTATTTGAGAAATAAACATGTCGCAAAAACCTGTCCATTTCTTTTGCGCATTATGTCAATTAACATCGATTAAAAGTGAAAATTGATTACATTGCGTCACGATGGAAAGCGATAATACGTAATATTAATTTCTATTCATTGGACATGACGTAGATTGAACACTATTGAATTAGAATATTTTCAAACTCAAGTGTAAACTTCTATCGAATAATATAAAGTAAAATATCAAATTTTTAAATATTTACTCTTTTTACCTTAGCGATATATATATTTACAATACGCGATACGTACATTTCGTATACTCGTAATTTCGCATTATTCACAATCTTGCACAATATGATATTATGCGTGTTCCTTTAATAAATTATTATTAGACAGGCTGTTTCGCCATGCTCAGCACTGGCAGCATTATGTTAACAGATAAATTATCCATGCACAGCGATTTGTCATGCACCTAATTCAGGCCTTCCGTTGTCCGATGAAGTCTATTCGCGGTTGTCTGCCGTCAATGGAATGCAGCCATGTTCCGTATGTTAAATTATACCGATGTACGGTTGCGTGGACATAAACATATACATATGTATATGTTTATGCTTTAAGGATATGCAGAGAAAGCGTGTCGAGATTTTTAGCATTTTTAGCGTATTATACTAACCACTAACCTGAATGACTTTGATTTCCATGTGCCAACGGTTACGCTTAGAAGTTAAGAACGTGATTTGCACAATGTGTTTTATTGTGTTTTATTAATTGATAATCAAGATTATCACAAATATCCGCTTATTCCATTTGATCAGTAACGCGATCCGTTACCGATTTTTATTTCTGTAAATATGATTACATTTGCGATATTGTCCAGAAAATACTGTTGCGTATACTGTTCGCAAGGGAATTTCAAACGAAATATGTATGCATGTACAGGATCGTTTGGTGCTCGAGAGTGTGAAGATTTTTCAGAGACATAGTAATACGATTTTAAGAGCATTCAGGACGCGCTATGCAAGCGCTATAACCGACCGAAAATCAAGTCTTAGCAAGAGTCTTTCTTTCAACGATCTTCCGCTTCATCAATTTCGTATATTTAAGCGTGATTAAATTTTTAATGTATTGGCCGCCGATTAATTTCCTCGAAGAATCGCTCTTCTACATATGCGAATCTATGTAGACGAAGATATTTTTTTCACAAAGTGAGCTAAATCTATATCGGATTTAATCAATTGATTTGTCGAGCGGGTCATTCATTAAGAATAGCATCGCTGGTAAGGTTTACGAGAAAATTAAAGTCGAGCTGTTCGATGTTTTACGTTCCAATAGTTTTACGAAAACACTTAGAAATTTGTGATGTAATGACCATTTCGTGAAATTGAATTTGAGATGCGATTCGTCCCAAGGTGAGGGCGGAGCGAGGAACGAGTACGGTGACTTATGGCACTAGTCCCGGTAGTGCTTGAGCAAGGCAGAGGGGTAGTAGCCAATTTGTAGCGCGTTACGTACTTCTGTTACCTAGGGGAAAGCGCAATGGTGGTGCACGTGTAAATCGCGCATTTCTAGAGTGGTCTGGTAAAACTTGCAAACTTGCTGTTTCGTTATCCGAAGTTAACGCAAATAGAATTTAATGTGAATTCTTTTTGACTTTATGACAACTAGGTAAGCTCTGCAGATTCAGAACCACGTTTGAAAAATTATATATTCTGACGTGACAATGATCATGAGCATTCGCGGAAATTACATAATAGCAATACGAGAGAAAATATAGAAAATTAGATGGTGAGTTGACATCCTCCTAAACAGCTAAATGCGCTTTAAATCTGGCTTTACTTTAATAATCTATGTACATTCGTTGGGGATTTCTCGTGCTTCTGCGTTCTCGCAGAATTTACGTTGCGCCTGAATGCAGTGTTTTAGGATCCAAAACGAGCGTAAGTCCATTGCAGCAAGACGTTTACTTCACGTGTACCACAATTTATTGTGGATAGGAATTTAACCTAGAATTCTCGGTAAAAAACGAAAATTGGATGTAATATATATATATA